GCTTAATAGGGGGAGGAGGAGGAGAAAACCCAATATTTTTGTCCTCTTGACCTTCACAGCAGACCTCGCAGCCACCCAACCCCAGGAAAAGGAATCGACCCACATAGGCGCATCTTAGACGGCTCAGATGCCCTTTTCTTAGGCGCACAAATGGCTAGAGCAGCGGTTCTCAACCTTCTGGCCCTTGAAATACAGTTCCTCATGTTGTGACCCAACCATCAAATTATTTTTCGTTGCTACTTTATAACTGTCATGTTGCTACTGTTCTGAATCGTCATGTAAACATCTGATATGCAGGATGGTCTTAGGCGACCCCCGTGCAAGGGTCGTTCGACCGCCAAAGGGGTCGCGACCCACAGGTTGAGAACCGCTGGGGGGGTTCTTCGCTCCGACCTCTCCCGCGCTCCGGGGAACTCACATTTGAAGGCCACCATCACGGGGGACGACGCGTTCACGTCCTTCCCTTCCCTCCGCGGGCCGTGGGGGAAGCTGTCGTGCTTCCTCTTCCGGAACCCGCCCGCTCCTGACATGGACAAGGAGACAAGAGTCCGTCAGGCCCGGCCACCACCCGGAGGGGACCCCTTCCTGCCCTGGGAGCCAGGCAGACGCCCGCGGGGCCCCACTCGGCTCTCTTCCCCCCAAAACCTTCCAACTCGCTCAGCCGGGCCACCCCCCCAACAGGCTCCTTCAACGGGCACGACGCGGAGTATCACCCAACCACGTTGTTTAAAAACAGCGCGTGCATTTAAGGAGACGAAGGTGTTCAATGGGGTCAGTGTGCGTGGTGGTGGAGGGAGTGGAGGGGGGGGAGGATATGGGGGAGTCACCAGGACCGCCGCCCCCCGGCCTGCATGGGGCGAGGGCATCCCTCGGGAGGGGAGGGGGAAATCCTACAAAAAGCCTGGCGATCCACCCGCTCTGGGTAAATAACGCCCCGGGCTGTGAGAGACGCCACCTTCTTTGTTGCTCATGTCGTCACGGCCGGAGGCGAGACGCGTAGAGACAGAGAGGGTCTCAGACCCGGCAGAGAGCGGGAGGCGGCGGGGGAAGAGCCTGCCAGGGGCCCTCTGACGTCGACGCACGAGCCGGAAGCGCGCGGCCGCAGACACTCAAGTCCCGCCTTCTCCCGCGCACACTTCCGGTCGCGTCCCAGTCTCGCAGCCAGGAGCTCCGCCCCGAGCCAGTCCCGGAGGACCTCGGCTCCGCGTGCCCTCTGCCGTGCCTGACGACAGAAGCGACTCGACACGCTTCCCAGCGTGCGCTGCTAATAAATAAGACGATCTGTCCTCCTGTAGGTGAGGTCCGTGTGAAGGTGGAAAAGCAGGGGAAAAGGTGCGTGATTTTTTTTTCTTGAGGTGCCTTTGGAACACCCTCGCGTTCCCTCAGCGAGGACCCAGCCTCCAGCGCGGTGCACAGTGGGAGTTGTAGTTCGCCAGCACAGCCGGTCCTGCTGGGCTCAAGCCAGACTGGGAGGAAGGAATGAACCCACTTGGGCGCCTAAGGGGAGGTCTTCTTAGGATGGGGGTGGAACCTTACCGAGTTACTTTTTATTTTGATTTTCTAAATAGATTTTTTATTGATTTTAGAGATGAAGGGAGAGAGAGAAACATCAATGATGAGAAAGAATCATTGAGTGGTTGCCTCCTGCAAAGCCACTATTGGGGATGAAGCCCGCAACCTGGGCTTGTGCCGTAACTGGAAATTGAACCACGAACCTTTTGGCTCATGGGACGATGCTCAACCAACTGAGCTACACCAGCCAGAGCAGATTAGCTTAATTTAAAAAAAAAAATTTATTGATTTCAGAGAGGAAGGGAGAGGGAGAGAAACATCAGTGAGAGGGAATCATTGATCAGCTGCCTCCTGCACGTCCCCAGTAGGGGGCAGAGCACTCAACCTGTGCATGTGCCCTGACCTGGAATCAACCTGTGGCTTTTTGGTGCATGGGATGATACTCCAACCAACTGAGCCATACCGGCCAGGGCATGGGTTGCCCTCATTTTGCCCTGAGACACCTGCCTATTGCTTCCATGGTGATCTGCCCAAGATGGTGTAGGGGAGAAGCCAAGTTAGAATGTAAGCCCTAACCGGTTTGGCTCAGTGGATAGAGCGTTGGCCTGCGGACTGAAAGGTCCCAGGTTCAATTCCAG